GTAGATATGTGGGGGTGTGTTAGAACGAGCCGTTTTAGGTAGGCGTGGTTAACTCTTAACTTTTATAAAGAATATCTCTTTGGTTTTGAGACTTTAGTGTTTGCAACTTTACAGATCTTCTTTATGCACCAAGAGCTTGTAACACTCCAAAGAGAAAGGAACAATTGAAATCGCATCATATGACCCCTTTAAAGAATTTCAGTCCACACCATAGCTATAATGATAAAGGCACAGAGAAACAATATAGTTGGAATCACTTTCAGAATTTTTTTTTCCTGCTGATGAATGATAAAAACATTTGACACCCAATCAGAATCAATCCTGCTATAACAAGCTCGAGAATTTAAAGCGGCAGTTGAGTGTGCGCTCTGAATAAACAGATTATACTGTCTGCTGATGTGGACGCTAATATAGTTATCTTTATAGTTTCTTTATAGTTATCGTTCTTGGTGTGAACAGGACTTAAGCCTCAGATTTACAGGTACAGTTAGGGTTTAGCAAATCATCAACTACTGCTAACTGAAAAATAAACCAACATGTGTATATGGTTTTAGAAGACGGCAGTGTGGCTTCACACCTTTTTGATGCTGCTGGCATATTGCTTCATGGCGATCTTCTCCACTGTGCTCTCAAAACCAAAGAAAGATTTGATGTCCAGACTGGCAGATTGTTCAAAACATGTCCATTCTTCATTTTCTGGGTGAACCTACATTGGACAACAAGACACATGCCAACTTTGTTAAACTGCCAGTAAAAGAGTATAAAAATAATGTTGTCAGTATCCAATATTTCTACATCAGTTGAAGTAGTTGAGAGTAGTATAACAACTTGAAGTAACAGATACTGACTACACTATTTGAACAACCAGATCAGATCTGAGCAAAATAACACACTGGACATTTACTCCATGAGTTAAAATTTGAAAAGCAAATCAGAATTGCATGAGTTGTATGCACTGTGAACAAAACAACACGTGTTTCATTAGCCACATTTTGGTCACTGGCTAACCTTCCAGAGAACCTAAGATAGTGATATTGTACCTCAGAGCTTCTCCTCTGTAACACTCCCATAAATAGAATCTTCAAAGGAGGCCTTAGATGATCTGACCCCATTAACTTTCTCATCATTTACTCGGGCATGATGCACACGGCTACTTTACTTCAGCATTGCATAGTATTACCTGAATAATCTCTAAAAACTAAAACAAGTCACTAGTAGCTCTATAGAAATTTAGATGCTAACTCCAGCGCCTCTGCCCAGAGACAGTAAAAAGGTCGAAACCAAATCATGGTGGAACTGATGCAAAATACTGAGTTGGAAAATCAAACCTTAAAGCTGTACGGAACAGTCCAGAGCAGTGTTTCCCAACCCTTTTTATTCCAAGGCCCCCTTCCTCTCTGAATCAATACTGCAAGGTCCCGCATCCTTTTCTATTTACAAAAATCTTTGTATTCTAGTGTTATTACTTTTACAAAATAGTGTTCTTTTAGTGTTCTTTTTTGGAATCATACTTTGCAAAAATGTTACTGCAGACATTCTTTAAACTTAAAAGTACTCAGCTCAATTATACAGTAACTTTAACAAATAAGCAGACGTTAACCTGCCATACCAAACAAGACCACAGGGAGATGCCAAAAAACTGCATATAGCTACTCTATGGATCAATTTAGAATTACTTGCACACCAAAATACAAATGAAAAATAAAAACATTCTGAATGTGTGGAAACTCAGTCTAAAGGTAGGTCGACGTCATCAGTGAACAGTTCCTCTGTCAGAACAAGCAATCATGTCTATGTTTGGAGCATCTGATGCCCATATGTACATAAACACCACTGGTTCTCACAAACTTCTCCAAAACATGCCTCTTTGGTGTTATAAAACACTCACAGTACATTAGTTTTGACAACTACGCAAATATATTGTACTGTGTTCTTGCAGAAAAATTATGTTATAGTTAACAGTGTGCCAAGAGCGCACACACACACACACACACGGTTTGTTTGCGCATCTATACTAACACATTCATGCACAGCTAACTACTCCTGTAGGTCACTAATCATTTTTACCTTGATTACAGTTATCGTCATCCATCAAAACTTTACTAGTTCAACACTGGTTTGCTTTATTCAACCTCACGCAGAGGTTCTGTGTTTTGAGCAGCCGTTCAGTCTGTATTTCACACAGCATGATGAGAAACAGCTTGGGCTGTGTACATATGATAGAGGATCAGCTTTGTTATTTTTATTATTTTTTTAATTGAATGTATTAATCCAAAGATTAGTGAATTATATCAATATATTCAAGTCATCTCCAACTCTGAGGATTGGTTTTCCCAGCAGGACAATGCTCCATTCCAATCAAGTCATGTCAATCAAGGTGTGGATGGAGGACCACCAGATCAAGACCCTGTCACGGCCAGCCCAATCTCCAGACCTGAACCCCACTGAAAACCTCTGGAATCTGATCAAGAGGAAGATGGATGGTCACAAGCCATCAAACAAAACTGAGCTGTTTGAATTTTTGCACCAGGAGTGGCATAAAGTCACCCAACAGGCAACAGCAACGTGAAAGACTGGTGGAGAGGTTATTCCACCAAATATTGATATCTGAAATATTCCTAAGTTTAAACATTAGTATTGTGTTGTTTAAAAATGAATATGAACTTGTTTTCTTTGCATTATTTGAGGACTGAAAACACTGCATCTTTTTTGTTATTTTGACCAGTTGTCATTTTCTGTAAATAAATGCTCTGTTTATTTTGAATTTGGAAGAAATGTTGTCAGTAATTTATAGAATAAAACAAAAATGTTCATTTCACTCAAACACATACCTATAAATAATAAAACCAGATAAACTGATAATTTTGCAGTTGTCTCTTAAGTTTCTACAGAGATGTAGGATGGATTCGCCATTATTGAGCATTAAAAACATATGTAATGTCTGTTTCATTCATACTGGTCACCAGAGGGCACCCTCACGCAGAAACTCCACATATGCATCACAGAAGTAATAGAACTCATGATTTTTCAGGAAATTCCTAATATGGATAAAGGCATCGCTATCGCTGTAACTAAATAAAACTTTGCATTATTTGAGGACTGAAAACACTGCATCTTTTTTGTTATTTTGACCAGTTGTCATTTTCTGTAAATAAATGCTCTGTTTATTTTGAATTTGGAAGAAATGTTGTCAGTAATTTATAGAATAAAACAAAAATGTTCATTTCACTCAAACACATACCTATAAATAATAAAACCAGATAAACTGATAATTTTGCAGTTGTCTCTTAAGTTTCTACAGAGATGTAGGATGGATTCGCCATTATTGAGCATTAAAAACATATGTAATGTCTGTTTCATTCATACTGGTCACCAGAGGGCACCCTCACGCAGAAAATCCACATATGCATCACAGAAGTAATAGAACTCATGATTTTTCAGGAAATTCCTAATATGGATAAAGGCATCGCTATCGCTGTAACTAAATAAAAAGATAGAAACGCTTAACTAATCAAACATGAAGACCATAAACACACGACTGCAACAATATATGGTTTATCGGTGTTCTTCAAACCATCTTGGGTATTTTCATAATAAGTATATTTATAATCCATTGCTAATCGACATCCCTTTATTATAGAATAGAAAATATTTTCTGCCTCATTCTGTGATAAGAAGCAACATCAGGTCACAAAAGGAAATTATTTGACATTGTCTTCCTGTTTGTTGCTGCCATGTGTTTTGAGTTTGAGTTAAAAGTTAAGTTAATTCTTTATCGACTATTTTTTATCTTAAAATCAATTTTATACACCATCATTTTCGTTTCTATAACGTGTGAATATACCCCCTATCGTATTTTACAACAAAAACAATGTTGTTTGTTGTTATCACTAGTTTTATTTTGATTTCCCAAGTCCGCTATTAGCTTATAGCCCGTTAGCATCACCAGCGTGGTTGCCGCTAATCTCGCTTACATTGCTAATACTCTATTCACACACATTACTATTGTTTTACTCACTGTTACTTGCTTTAATGGCGGATGTGTGTCTACCATTTTTGAGTGCAGGTGAGGACACCGAATGCAGCTCGAGCTGGAGGCCGTGGAGAAGCAGATCCGCGACGTGGCGGAGTTGGTGTTGCAACAATATATAGTGATATCCTCAATGTTACTCAGAAAACAGGATACAGGTTTAACTCATTCTAAATACTTCTGCTTAATGTTACACTGTCAGATATGCAAAATAAATCTATCGTATCTCTTGCTCTGGCTACTGTGTATAGATCACCAGGGCCGTATAAATATTTCCTAAAAGAACTTGCAGATTTCCTCTCAGACCTATTGGTTACTGTTGATAAAGCGCTAATTGTCGGAGATTTTAACTGCGCATTACATGAATCGCGTAACATAATGCGCTCTCGACATTTGTCATTAAGATCACGCTATAGAAATCGCCTAAAATTAAGTATAAAGAAGAGAAGAAAGCGGCCCTAGGCAGCTGCCTACACATGCCAGCCACTGCCACTGCCAGATGCAGTTATAAATACTAAAAACAAGCCTATCGCAAGACATCTGGTAGGGGGGGCACCTGGGGTGGCCAGCCAAATTTCCCACCCCTGTGCCACCACGTAGACCCGCCCCTGCTTGCAACATCTAGCTGCTGTGATGCACAGAGCCGGTCCGACCTAATAAGTGATATAAGCGGTTGCATAGGGCCCCGTGGCCTCCAGGGGGGCCAATGTCAGGGTCAGACGGTAATGCTCGATAATTATAACTTTAAAAAAGTTTCAGTCACATGTTTGAAAATGAATAAGTGGCACTATAAAACTGGTGCAGACTGCAGAGAATTGGGAAAAGAGAAAAGAAAGCAAGCAAGATAAGGGTAAGTGATGAATTTTGAAAATATATTGTTTAAATGGCGGTTGCTGCATCGTGCTGCGAACGCTTTGAAGACGCGCTGTGCCAATGTAACAACAATGAACATGAACGTAATGTTGTCTTGGCCACTTCAAAATACGTGAATAATTCTACGTTAGGTATCTTATTATCAGAAGGTTTTCGATTTTTAGAACGCATATATAATCTTATTTTCCATCGACCAGTTGAGTTTTACAACACTGCGCTTTTGTAAACACACCTGAAGCAACTAATTAGGGTCTTCAGGATCACTTAAATTAAAGGCAGGTGTCTTTGATTAGAGTTTGAGCTAAACTTTGTAGGACAGTCGATCGCCAGGAGCAGGGTTGGGCACCCCTGCTCTACACATTACCATGGTTACCCCCTGTACACAAAGCAGCGCCGTGCAAGCGCAACTTCTGACACCCACTTGTTTGTCAAGGACGTCAAAGGAAGTCAAAACAGTATTTACATGTTTTCAAACAGCCATTCAGATTTTTTTAACACTTTGGTGTTTATCAAATAAGAAATATATTCAAACATATGTTTACAATTATACATGTTTGCATTTTAATCAGGAATAAAACATGCCAGCCCAGAAAATAGATAATGCTGTATATTATTATTGATAATAATAATTATTATTATTCTCTTTAATTTTCATAATCCAGGTGTTCTTGCTTTATTAAAGCATTAATCTCACTAAATTTTCTTACATTTTTCTGAAAGCAATGGTTAAACTTTTACATTTTAAAAAGTTTTAAATAATTGTTAGAAGTGCTTAAGTAAATATCTTTATATTTATGTATTGA